CAAGTCACCTACACTCCTCCTCTACCCAAGGACAACCTCAACAACCAGCACCATGTGTGGCAGCTACTACGGAAACTACTATGGCGGCCGTGGCTATGGATGCTGTGGCTGCAGAGGCCTGGGCTATGGCTATGGCTCCGGCTATGGCTGTGGCTCCCGTGGACTGGGCTTTGGCTATGGCTCTGGCTATGGCTGTGGCTATGGCTCTGGCTGTGGCTATGGCTCCCACTCTCTGTGTGGCTGTGGCTATGGATGCAGCTCTGGCTATGGCTCTGGCTTTGGCTCCTATTATTGAAGAAACCATCAGAGAGTCCCACCTTCTACACCTGTGACATCAAGCTTCACCTGTTCAGAAAGCTTATGTGCCTGAGCCTCACCCTTGAGTGACGATGACCCTATCATGGAATTTCCTATGGGCTGGTGTAACCTATGGGGAACCTGGCAATTCCTTGAATTTGCCTCATTGAGTTAAGATGAAATTCACCTGACCCTCCTGCTCCTTCAGGATGGTGTCAGAGCAACTGCCTTGTTGACTTTCATGGGAAAGCTTGTTTCCTGTTGACCTAATAAAATTCTTTAATTAAAAATCCTGGTTTTATTCTAGTCATTTGACACCCAGAGTTTCCTACTGAGAATTTGTGGTTTCTGTTTGCATGAAAGGTAATGACTGGAATTGGGAGAACACCTCAATGATGGAGAGGCTGCTCTGCCTGCTCCAGACCCTGGGTTTGGTCTCCAGATGCTTATACAAAATATGGACAAAATACTAATGATTGAATGATTGCTCGATTTCCCAGGAGTATACTTTCCCTTACTATTTCTAGATCAACATCTTTACCATATCCAAAGTTGTTTTTCTTGGAAAAGTAACATAGTCTTTGTAAATCTCGGTTTCCACTCTAGCTAGGAGGAAATAATGTAATAACATATGTCATACCAAAGAAGCTACAATTAAATGCAATATAATCTACAAATTATGTTAAGAATTGTAAGACCCATCATAACCAATAAAGGAAGATAATACCTCGACAATTTCCATATCCTGATGCCTCATTGTAATTGAACAAATGCGGTAGAGACATCTTCTCTTATAATGGTTATTTTGAAGTATTTTAATGAATAAAACTACCTCAGGGAAATTTTTACCATTTTTTACTTATGAAGTAATAGTAGATTGTAAAACTCACTGGCCTGCATCTCTGGCCATAATAATTGGAAAAATTTAGGTTTAGATGAAAAGTTTGGGCTCAATGAAGTGATCAAGGTGTTAGTCAGGTGTGCATGTTGTCTGAGGCTCCATTGAGGGAATCCCTGCTCCCATATGTTCATGCACTTGTTGGCCAAATTCAGTTCCCTATGGCTGGAAAGCTTCTGGAGCTGCATAACTTCAGACTCCATAACTGAGAAGTTGCATAACTTTCTCAGCTCCTAGAGATCACATGTCTTGCCAAGCACATTGGCAGGATTTTTCAAAGTCAGAAAGGAAGGGAAAGAGATTCCACAAGATGGTGTTACAATTTTGTGTATCAAAAGATGAAATCCATAATCACTTCCAGGAAAATATTATATATATATATAAATACACAATATATGATATACATTCTCTATTAGAAGGAAGTCATAGCCTTGTGTGAGGAGTGAATCATTAAAAAGTGTTCAATATGAACAGACAGAAATTATGAAGTCACTTTAATAGTCTGCCACCACTTGGAGGAGACACTGTAATATTGTGTGTATAAATACACATAACCACACATATTTCCACATACACAACACTGAAATAATTGATAGAAACACACAGTGATGGGGAACTTAATGCACCAATCTCAGGACAAATCATATTAAGTAGAAAAAATAAGTGAGGAGAGGAAACAACTAAACAATAAAACCAATGAGGTAGATAGCTCCAATGGATCTAAGCTCATTTTGCAGATTTTCATGGACATACATTTGAATGCCTAATGGAATGATTAATTTCTTAAGGGAATTCAGATAAACAAAACTGACACCTTTAGATTTGGGGATTGTAAGAGGCTAAATTGTTAAAATTGTATTCTGAGATTAACACCTCAATCCAGATGAATTCTCAAGAAAATTCTACCAAAACTTCAGAGGCAGACAAAATCATCTTAATGTTGTATAAATTTTTCACTAGCATTACAAATAAAGAGAAACTTCCTGCTTGTTATGATGAAACTTGTGTAACATTTCTCCAAGTGTTTGTTTTTATCCTTTTCTTTCTTCCTCTTCATTATCCAGTTACCAAGATTAACTCTCTTTTCTTACATATTTTGTTCCTTGAAAGCTGTGAGTTTTGAAGACTGCCCTTTGCAGGCATGCATATTACAAGTCCTTTCCATTTCACCTGTTCTCTGATCCACTTAGATATTTATGTCTTTAATGTTGACTTCAAAGTAAACTTAGTCCTTCCAACAAAGTTTTCTTCCATTTTCTTTAGCTTTTCTCTTTGATTACCAGAAAACCCTGCTAAAGAATGGGCTACTGGACAGATGTATAAACAGTAGGATTTTCTGTTATACTTAAACTTTTTTTGTTATTTTGTTCATTGAAGAGGATATATTCCCTCCTTATGATTTCCAGAATTTATTGTTCAAGTTGTTTTATTTCTTTCCTTTCTTGTTTTACTTCCTTTTTTATCAAATTATTGAGAATTTGGTTCCTAATCTGGTGTCATTTTTAAATTACTCATGTTTATTATATGAATATATAGTAGAGGGGGCGGGTGTTTAGCTGAGTGGTGCCATCACCTGCCTCACAATCAGAAGGCCCCAAGTTCGATTCCCTGAACGAAAAAAAAAAATTAGTAGGATTTACAAAGGAAGCTATCCTGTTCTATAGCTATGTGAATAGATTTTAAGTTAGGAGTTGTTTCCCAGTTCCTTTCTCAGTGAGTCTGTTGTTTGTGTACAGGAAAGCTATTGATTTTTGGGTGTTGACCTTGAATGCAGCTACTCTGCTGAATTTGGTTATTAAGTGTAGAAGACTTTTGGTGGAGTTTTTAGGATCTTCTATATAGAGTATCATGTCATCTGCAAATAATGACAATTTGACTTCTTCATTTCCTACTTTTATTATTTTTCTTTCTTTCTTTTGTCTAATTGCTGTGGCTAATGTTTCCCAAACTATCTTGAACAGGAGTGGTGATAGTGGACATCCTTGTCTTGTTCCTGATTTTGGCATAAAGGATTTCAGTTTTTGACCATTTAGTATGATGTTGGCTGTTCATTTTTCATAGATGGCTTTTATCAGGTTGAGATAAAGACCATTGATTCCAATTTTCTATAGGGTTTTCATCATTAATGGATGTTGGATTTTGTCAAAGGCTTTTTCTGAATCTATTGAGATCATCATAGGTTTTTTGTCCTTGCCTCTGTTAATATAGTCTATCACGTTTATTGATTTGCATATGTTGAATCATCCCTGCATCCCTGAGATGAATCCCACTTGGACAGGTTATATGATCTTCTTGATGATCTTTTGAATTCTGTTTGCCAGTATCTTATTGAGGATTTTTGCATCTATGTTCATTAGGGAGGTTGGCCTATGGTTCTGTTTTTCAGTTGGGTCTTTTGCTGCATTTGGGATCAAGGTGATGTTTGCTTTTTGGAGTGAATTTGGGAGTATTGCTTCCCTTCAATTTCATTGAAGAGTTTAAACAGTAGTGGCAATAGTACTTCTCTACATGTCTTGTGAAGTCATCAGAACCCGGGGTTTTCTTTGTTGGTAAGTTTTTAAATTATGTTTTCAATTTCGTTGACTAATATGGTTTGTGTAGAATTTTTAGGTCTTCTTCATTTAAATTTTGTAATTCATATGTATCTAGAAATATCTATTTCTTCTGTGCTTTCCATCTTATTGGGGTATAGTTTCCAAAATCAGATATTGATGATCCTCTGGATTTCTCTTGGGTCAGTTGTAATTTCACACTTTTCATTCAGAATTACATAGATTTGGGCCTTTTCATTTTTGATAAGGTTGGCTAAGAGTTTTTCAATTTTGTTTATTCTCTTGAAAAACCAACTCTTTGCTTTATTGATTTTTTTGTATCATTCTCTTAGGCTCCACTGCATTGATTTCAGCTCTGACCTTTATAATTTCCTCCCTTCTACATCTTTGGATTTGTCTTTATGATTATCATCTCTTCCTCTTGAATTGTTCCCTTTACAAGGATGTAGTGACCTTCTTTGTCTCTCTTAATTAGTGTTGGTTTGAAATCCACTTGATTTTCAAATAGGATAGCTACTCCTGCTTATTTTTCCTGTTCCTGTCACATGGAGTATAGTTTTCCACCCTTTAACTTTCAGCCTATGATTTTTTTTTAATTAAGTGCATTTCTTGCATGTAGCATATTGTTGGATCTTGCTTCTTGATCTATTCTGCCAATCTATTTCTTTTGATTGGTAAATTGAGACCACTAACAGTGATGGTTATAACTGATATATTTTTAGTTATCCTTGTCATGATCTTTTTCTATTGTTGGTTCCCCCTCCGTTTGCATTTAATTTCTTATTGTGCCTGATGGTATCATTCTGTTGGGCTGCATGGAGTTTTGGCCCTTATTGTCTTTTTCTAGCACATTGCTGAAAATTTTGGAGTGCTGTTTCAGTATTCATGAAATTCCTCAGGTGTTCTTTGTCATGAAAGTATCTTATTTCTCCATCAATTTTGAAAGACAGTTTTGCAGGGCACATCAATCTGGGGTGGAGGTTGTATTTTTTTTAAGGGTTTAAAATACTCTTGGTTCTTCTTGCCTTGAGGATTTGTGTTGAGAAATCTAATGTGATTCTGATGGGCTTTCCTTTGCATGTGATTTGTTTCTTTTCTCTAACTGCTTGTAATATTTTATATGTCTCCTGATTTTCTAGAATCTTGACTATTATATGCCTAGGGGCAGGATTTTTTTTTATCACAGATAGTTGGAGTCCTGTATGCCTCACTTATCTGTATGTAAATTTTTTACCCCTACTTGGGAAGTTTTCTGCCATTATGTCTGTGAAGAGTTTTTTTGTCATTTGCACACTCTCCTGTTTCTTCATTGACTCCAATCAGTCTTATGTTATTCTTCTTTGCATCATCTAGCAGCTGCTGGATTGATTTCTTGTAGGCCTTTGCTATTTATAGGAAAGCTTTCTTTTCCTGGTTACTAATTCAATCTTGTCTTCTCTATCTGATATTCTGTCATCACATTGGCACATTCTGCTGCATAAACTTTCAATGGAGGTTTTAATCTCCTACATATCTGTTTTATGGATTCCATTTCTTTCCTATGATGTG